CATAACTCTGAAGGTACTAGTACTTTACTTTCTAGCACACCTGAAACTCCATTCTCATCTACAGCCCCTCAAGCTTCATCTAAGATTATAGATCCACCTCTATGTTAGTCCATTTGTATTTGTAAGTCCACAAAACTACCAAATATTGTTTATTCTTGTTATTCTTCATCATTTACTTTCTTTTTAGTTTCTATTCATTGTCTCTTTGAGCCCTTTTCTTATAAAGAGGCAATTTTTGATCTGCTTTGGCAGCAAGCTATGGATGAGAATCTTTTTGCTTTGCATAAGATAAATACGTGGGATTCGGTTCCTCTACCTCCTGGTAAGAGTGTTGTTGGTTGTTGTTAGGTGTATAAGATTAAAACTAATTTTGATGGGTCTATTGAGCGATACAAAGCGAGACTAGTTATAAAAGAATACTCTCAACAGTATGGTATAGATTATGAGGAGACATTTGCCCTAGTTGCAAAAATGACTACTAGTTATACTCTTATTGTCGTAGCTTCGATTCATCAGTGATATATTTCTTAGCCTGATGTTAAAAATGCCTTCTTGAATGGAGTTCTTCAAGAAGAAGTTTATATGGCACCCCTTCCTGGTATTTCACATGACTTCGGATATGTTTGTAAGCTTAAGAAAGCATTATATGGTCTTAAACAAGCATCCTGTGTTTGGTTTGAAAAATTCTCTATTGTGATCTCGTCTCTTGACTTTGTTTCTAGCCGTCATGATTCTACTCTTTTTATTAAGTGCACTAATACAAGTCTTATCATTCTGTCTGTATATGTTGATAACATGATTATTACTGGTGATGACATTGATGGTATTTCAGTTTTGAAGACAGAGTTGGCTAGAAGATTTCAAATGAAGGATTTGGGTTATCTTCAATATTTCCTGGGTATTGAGGTAGCATACTCACCAAAAGATTACCTTCTTTCTCAGTCGAAATATGTTGCAGATATTCTTGAGCGGGCTAAACTTACTGATAACAAGACTGTAGATACTCCTATTGAGGTTAATGCAAGGTACTCTTTTTCTTATGGTTTAACTTTGATATATCTTACTTTGTACCATACTATTGTTAGGAGTTTGGTATATCTCGCCATTACTCATCCAGATATTGCATATGTTGTTCATATTGTTAGTCAGTTTATTGCTTCTCCTACTACTATTAATTGGGCAGCTGTTCTTTGTATTTTGTGATATCTTCAGGGTACAGTTTTTCAGAGTTTTTTACTTTCATCCACTTCTTCATTGGAGCTGCGTGTATACTTTGATGTTAATTATGATAGTGATCCCACAGATTACAAGTCTGTTACCAGGTTCTGTATCTTTTTAGATAATTCTCTTATTTCTTGGAAGAGTAAAAAACAATCTATTATTTCTCAATCATCCATCGAAGGAGAATATCGTGCCATGACATCTACTATCAAAGAGATTGTTTGGTTATGTTAGTTGCTTACTGATATAAGAGTTTAATTTTCTCATTCTACTTTTATGTATTGTGACTATCAGAGTTCTATTTAGATTGCTTACAACTCAGTTTTTCATGAGCAAATTAAGCATATTGAAATCGATTATCATCTTACTCGTTATCATCTCAAACATGACACCATTGCTTTGTATTTTATTCCTTCTTCCTTGCAGATTGCAGATTTATTTACTAAGACGTATTTCATCTCTCATTTTTATTTTTTGGTTAGCAAACTCTTAATGTTTGTATCTATCACCTTGTAAGTTTGAGATGAGATGTTTATGTAATTTTATTTATTAATAATAAAAAAATATTTTAAATTTAATTTATATATATATTATTTTTATTTAGATTAAGATTATGCATTTTCAGTAAACAAATTATTAAACATTTTAACTTTCTTTTCAGGTTTGTTATTAGGTAATTTCACATGGAGGTGCTTCAGAGTTTCTTTTTGCTAGCCTTTAGCTTCTCCCAAGATAATGCGTTTGGGAATGATTGTTGTGCTCTTTCACGTGGTTGGTCACTTCATCATTCTGGTTTCCCATGCGGCCACGCCATCCCACCCTAAATTCAAAGTACATTTCTTCAATAATTTGCTGCGTGCTGTGCTAGCAAAAGATATACCGCCAGTATTGAAAGGCAAGTGTACTGAGAATCATGATCGAATCCTCATTTATTATATATTATTATGGGAGAGGATGATTTCGCTTTCAGCACAGCTTAATTTCCAATTGAATATTGATGAAGTGTGGGCTCTTGGTTAATTCTTACATTCAATAACAATCCTTCCTCTACAGTCAACCTAATTTTCTATTAAAGTTTACTTTCAAATGGAGGAAGGGACACATTTAGATTTTTATTGATTTTAGTTCTAGAAAGAAAAAAAAATTGATTAAAAACACAGGAAAATAATAATAAAATCTTAATTTTTTTTACCATTTTTAACTATTCACTACTGATTTTTTTTAATTTTTTAGACTAGAAAGTTTAATTTATTTATTTATTTTAAAAAGTGAAAGGCAAATAAAAAATTGAATAAAACTCTATTTGCTGTGTTTTATACGTTTTTGTTCTCGTAAACTGAAGAGCTTGTAGTTATCATCAGGGCTTGCAAATCAAAAGATGATCTAATAACATTCAATTACGGACGGCAATTTAATCCTCTCAATGGGTTATTCGGTTGCATTAGATTTATATTTGGTTTGATTAGGTTGAAATCGAAGAAAAGTAAAATATAATCTAGTTTGAACGAGTGGGTTGGAGGTAGGTGAGCGGCGTATTTGTGCAGGGAACAATCATTGAAAAGCCGGAGATATTCCCGAGTGTTTTTTGCTTGGCAGATTTAAGACTTGTGGTTAATGCAAGCATGATTCCTGTTGGAGATATTTGAAGAGCTGGAGATTCGCTGGAGTGATGCATGCGTTGAATGATTGCTAGAGTGATTCCTGCTGAAGAATCAAGACTGAAGATTGGTTATGAATGCCTGCTTCTATTCTGTAAAATTGGTGTTTCAGAATGAATACGACTTCTTCTTCTTCGTGGTTTTTTTTTTTTTTTGTTCCAGTTTAAACAAACGATGCCGTTTCTGGTTTAATCTCTAAATAAATTAATTGAACCCTTGAATTTGAACACTTATTCTAGTTTAGTCCTTGCTCTTCAAAATTGTGCATTCTTGGTCAATTTCGCTCTAAATCCCATATTTCCTTTTCAATTGTATTTCTAATTGTATCAATTGAACCCCCTAAATTTAGCAACTTGTTACAAATTCATCCATGGTTCTTTAATTCTTTTAATTACAACTAAATCACATCTTGTTTTCTTATTTTTTTTCAATCATATCCCCAATTGCATTCTAAATTATTCTTGACATTGTTTTACCTTCTTCAACTTAGTTTTTGGCTTGTTAAAATAAATTACTTGTCCAATCTTATCCCCAGTTATATTTTATCATTCTTCCTTATTTTATTTTTTTACATTTTACATTTTTAAAAATTATTTTCTAGATATTTTTTATCCACAAAAATTAAATAAACACAAATGAAAAAAAAATAACAATTGAAATTGAAAAGGCTTTTGTTTTTATTGATTTGATCCGAGTTTATATCTATATGTTTTTTAGGCGGTACAAAATACATTTTTTTTCATGAAAATAGATGAGATTTGTGAGATTTGAACTAGTGATTTTTAGAGAATCTAGAATTTGACTAGTTAATTTGTATTTTTTAGAATTACTGAAAATTTATATTATTGTTAATTTTAAATAAAATTAATTGAGATATCACAAATTAATTCAGATATTTATATTAATTAAAAAAGATGGTATTGTAAAAAATATATATGTGGTATAAAATAAAAGGAGAACATCACATAACATGGTAAGACAAGACAAGAAAAAAAAAACCCACAATCTTTGCAGGTTAACCTCAACATTAGACCGCCATCACTGTTCATGATCAAGACTAGGATAATATTTAATTTTGAAAATACACTAAATTAAATGCTGATCTAAACAATGTTCCTTGGAGCATGGATTTAAGTTTCACTAGGGTTAGGATTTGAATTTGCTAGGGTTAGGATTTGAATTTGAAGTATAATACATTTCAAGATAAAACACTATTAGGATGAACCTTTTGTTTTTTCCCCTTAAAAAAACACTAATCCCAACATTGTGTTTTTTAACCATGCTATTATTTTTATTTTTATTTTTTACCTCTGCTATTTTTCATTATTTAAAAAAAAACGCACACTATTTCTAGAGACAGGAGACCGTGCTACTGCCTCTTGAAATTATTTGGACTTCAGATATATCAAAATAATTTTATAGTTCCGTAGCTGCATCCACAAGAAAATGAAGTCAGATCGAATCATTGGTTTTAGGGCCCGTGCATGATAATAACTTTGAATTGCTTTCGAATTGGGACCGTATCATTTCAGCAGTAGATAGCTCTATAGCCATATATATATATATATATATAATGGACAATTTGTTTTATTGCTCAAGTCAGATTAAACTGCTTTTGGAGAAAAGCTAAAGAAACAAAGCAAAAGCAAGTAAAAGACAAATAACCATAAATCAATTACAAGGAAAACATAGGAAGAGATAACTTACTTAGAAAACTAGCACATATTATTCAAGAATAATGCTATAAACAATTAATTTTTGTAATTAAGTTACATAAATTATATAAAAAAAACATAATAATAATTATCTCATTAAACATGTTAAGATGTGCATTCCATAATTTGAAATTATTTATGCCGGGCCACTATGTAATGAGCAAAACTTAGTTAAAAAAAATAAGTAACCCTAGCATTTTCCATAATAAATCGTTAAGACCAATACCCCTATGATTTTTGCATAAATATTCAATGAATGGATGTTAAAGACTTTCCTAAATGAGTTTTTTCGATAGAAATTCAATTAAACAAAAAGGAAAGTATACGAAAATATTGCTAATTATTATTTTGAAAGATAATTCTTTTATTACACTTTAACTTCCGATGCATATCATGTAATAAAAGTAAAAAATATAGTTGATATATTTTATTGAAATCACCCGTTTGATTAAATTAACATATAATTTAATGTACAAACTCGACCGATTCTAAACCTCGAATTAAATTACTGGATTTATTGTTTTGTATCAACAACCAAGAACTGCCGTGGGTTTTATTAGGATGCTGGCATGCAAACCTGACAAAACAAAAGGTAAGGGACATGATAAAATGAGAAATGGGACACACAAGAATTTATATGGTTCACTCAATTGGGCTACGTCCACAAACAAGTATAGAAGGATTTTACTAAGTAATGTGGGAATACAACTTCTCTCTAATAATAGGAGAACAACCGAAATCTCTCTATTACTAGGAGAAAAACCCCCCACTTACTATCTCACAAATACCTCATAATTTTGTGGGATTACTCTCTCCTCACCCTCTCTTCTTTCTCTCTACTTGCTCTCAAGTTTCTCTCTTGTTGTGTGTATATAATGATTGGATGCATTGCCTATTTATAAGCAAGCATCCATGCAAAAGACAAGGGGTAGGGTAAGTAGCACCAATTTGGTGCCTACAATTTTTGACTGAGGTGTAAAAGGATGGCTTCACCTTCTCCCACCATTGTTGACTTAGATGGTTGACTTCACATTCTCCCACTTGAAGACTTTGATGATTTAATCAAGTCTTCACACTTGATCATTTGTGCTTCTTCTATCCTTTCTATACTTGTTATCTTCATACTGCTTACGTTTCTACTAGGCCGTAAGAGGATCTACATCATATATACTTATCAGTATTGACCAATTTTGTCAAAGCATCTACTGGGTTTTTCTTTTTGTGAACCTTCTGAAAATCCACACTTCCATCTTCCACCACTTCGCGAACAAAGTGATACTGAACATCTATGTGTTTTGTTCTTGAATGAAACGCTGGATTCCTTGCAATATGCAAGGCACTTTGACTATCACAATACAAAAGAATATTCTCTTGTTTGTGCCCGAGCTCCTCCATAAGTTTCTTCATCCATATTGCTTCTTTACAAGCTTGTGTAGCTGTCATGCACTTAGCTTCTGTTGTAGATACCGCTACAACAATTTATAGTTTAGAGACCCAGCTCACAGCTCCTCCTGTAATTATGAACATATAGCTTGTAGTGGACTTTCTTTTCTCAAGGTCACCAGCAAAATCTGAATCAACATAACCTCTGATAGTAAATTCTGATCCTCCATAACATAATGCAGCATCTGAGGTACCCTTGATGTATCTCAAGATCCTCTTAATAGTATTCCAATGCTCTCTACCAGGATTTGCCATGTATCGACTAACTGCTCCCACTGCTTGTGCAATGTCTGGTCTTGTACATATCATGGCAAACATTAAACTTCCCACTGCTGATGCATACGGTACTCGAGACATCTCCATCCTCTCTGCTTCATTGCTAGGAGACATACTTGAGGATAATTTGAAGTTAATAGGAAGTGGGGTGGAAATTGGCTTACAATCTTGCATGTTGAAGCGTCGCAAGATCTTCTTTAAATAATTCTTCTGAGAAAGCCAAATCTTCCTCTTACTTCTGTCTCGGTAAATTTGCATCCCTAGAATCTTGTTTGCTGGTCCCAAGTCCTTCATATCAAATTCCCTAGCCAACTGTGCCTTCAATTCTTGGACTCGATCTTTGTTGGGGCCTATCACCAACATGTCATCCACGTACAACAACAAAATGATGAAATCTTCTTCAAACCTCTTGTAATACGTACAATGGTCTGAACTGAGTCTGTTGTACCCAAGGCTAATTATGAAGGAATCAAATCTCTTATACCAACACCTCGGCGCCTGTTTGAGACCGTATAAATATTTGTTCAACCTGCAAACCAAGTTCTCCTTGCCTGTTTCAGCAAAACCCTCTGGTTGGAGCATATAAATTTCTTCTTCAAGTTCTCTATGAAGAAATGGAGTTTTCACGTCTAACTACTTCAAGTAAAGATCAAATATAGTACACATTGCCAAAACTACTCTGATTGTCGTAAGTCGTACCACTAGAGAAAATATCTCATTGAAGTCTATTCCTTCTTTCTGAGCATATCCTTTCACCACTAATCTTGCACGATACCGCTCCACTTGATCATTGCCATCACGTTTTATCTTGTAAACCCATTTGTTGCCAATGGCCTTTCTTCCTTGTGGTAGCGGAACAAGATCCCAAGTATTATTCTTGTACAGAGCTTCAATCTCCTCTTGCATTGCTGTCATCCACATAGATACATCTGTGCTTTTGATAGCCTCATGGAAAGTTGATGGCTCTCCATCCTCTGTTAGAAGACAATATGCAATGTTACTTTCAGTAACATATTCTGAGTGCCAAGCCAATGGTCTTCTTTCATGAGTCGACCACCGAACTTCAGGAGTTTCAAATTCTATTTGTTCTTTCTCTTCATGCTCTAGTATAGCTTTAGAATAAGCATGATTCTGAGTATTTCCACATGGACTGCTGTAGTCTCCTTTAGAATGATATTATGTTCTTCCATTTGCATTTTACCTTCTGCAAATATGACATCTCTGCTGATCACTACCTTGTGGGCAGTGGGATCCCACAAGCGATACCCCTTCACTCCATCAGCATATCTCAAGAATACACATTTTTTGGATTTTGAATCCAGCTTGCTAACTTCTTGTGTATTGTACATCACGTACATAGGACTTCTAAATATATACAATCGAGAATAATCAACTGGTTTTCCAGTTCACATCTCCATTGGTGTCTTCATCTTAATTGTGGTTGATGGAGATCGATTTATCACATAACAGGCGGTATTGACTGCTTCTGCCCAGAATGACTTTCCTAGACCTGCAGCCTTCAACATTGCTCTTGTTCTTTCTAATAGAGTTCTGTTCATCCGCTCTGCCACTCTATTTTGCTATGAAGTGTATGCCGTTGTGAACTGCCTTTTGATACCTTCATATTGACAGAAGTTATCAAATTCATCACTGGTATATTCTCCTCCATTGTCAGTCCTCAAACACTTGATCTTCTTTTCAGATTCAAGTTCCACCCGCGCTTTGAAAGTTTTAAAGACTGTAAGCACATCTGCCTTCCTTCTAATTGGATACACCCAACATCTCCTGGAGAAGTCATCTATGAATGATACAAAGTATCTTGCTCCTCCCAAGGATACAACCGGTGCTTGCCAAACATCAGAGTGAATCAGGTCTAAGATGCATTTACTCTTAGTTGTTGATGTGCCAAACTTCAACCTGTGTTGTTTACTTGTAACACAGTGCTCACAAAAAGGTAAAGTAACCTTTGTAAGCCCAGGGAGTAACTGCTTCTGATCAAAGAAAACCTTTAAACCTTTATCTGACATGTGACCTAGTTTTTTATGCCACATCATCGTCTTCTCTTCTACAGGACTGGCTGATGCGATTGACGCTTCTGCCTCATGATGTGTTTCTCCCATTAATGCAAATACATTTGCAACTGTCTTTCTTGCCTTTAAAACCACCAGCGCTCCTTTGATGATTTTCATAATTTCATTGTCTGTTCGAATCTTACAGCCAAGACTATCAAATTGTCCTATGGACAAAAGATTCTTCTTTAAGTCTTTCACATGTCGCACTTCTGAAATAGTACGAATCAAGCCATCATACATCCTCAATTTGATGGTGCCAATGCCGACAATCTCTAAAGCATGATTATCACCCATGAACACTTTGCCTCCAAAGATGGGTTTATATGTATGGAACCAATCTTGATTAGGAGTGATATGCCATGTTGCTTCTGAATCCATTAGCCAGACCTCAGTGAGCTATTCTTTATCTATAAAGATTGTCGCTGCTTCACTATATAAAACATCTCCATCTTCTGAGGTGCTCGCAACACACCCTTGAGATTTTGATGACTCTACAGTATTCTCTATACCCTTTTTAAGCCAACAATCCCTTTTAAAATGCCCCTTTTTGCCATAGTTGTAGCATTTCACAGTCTTCTTACTTCTTGATTTGGACCTCCCCTGCCTTTGTCTCCCATTAGAGCCACGCTCTGTTGATTTTTCTCTTGACACCAACAACGCCTCTGCTTGGTTTGAACT